TTAGCATTAGAGTACTTTCTATTGATCTTAAATTTTTACTCTCATTAATTAGTAGTGTAAAGTTTAATGCTTTTTTTTTTTTTGATGTGAACAGTGTAAACAATACAGCAAAGTGTAAAAGGATGAAAAACTACGGAAAAGTGTAACAAGAAAATTTAATTGAGCTATATGCGACTTTACGATGTGTGTGTGTTGAGAATCAGAGAAGTTGTAAAATTTGTAATGCAGGTTTCTTTTTTTTTTTCATTCTCGAATAAAGAAAAGGTAAGAAGACAGTTCTTGATTTGTAATTTATTGACACTGAAGTACATCTCACATACATTTTTGATCAATGATATTAGTCGAGAGTTGTTATTAAAAAAGTTTTATTTCGATTAAAGTTCAAACCTTACAAACATGAGAGAAAGTTCACATGGCTAAAAATGAAAAACAAAAAGTGAAAAGAAATATGCAATTATATCATACGTAGTATTTGTTTCATTACCCATTCCAGTTGAACAATGATTGTTAATTTTAGTATTATAAATTTAAAAAAAAAAAAAAAAAAAAGGAGAAATTAAAACAATCTTTAAATATCCTAGGATAGGTTAAATAAATGAATGATACTTGGGAAGCATTCTTAGTAAATGATGGATAAAAAGTTGGTTATAAGGGGGGAAAAATCAAAAGATATATTCTATTTGAACAGACTTTCTTCCTGTTCTTTAGTTTATGACTAATTTTTTTTTCGATCTTTTCATTTCCTCTCAACAAATTCTTTTCAATTTTTTTTTTTTTGATATCCAAGTAATACACTGATTGTGATACTAATTTAAATAAGTTTTTAGGCTTTAACAGTATTTACTCGTTTTTGATTATATTTGACAAGTAATAAGGTTATAGAAATATTGTTGACTAATTGATAGCTTAAAGAAAATTTTCTAAATTTTTCCAGAATAAATGATGGTAACATTTTCGATCGTTACTTTCTCGCTCATATGGATTGCATTTTCTGTACATGCAGATTTCCAGAAAATTAAATTCAAAAATTGTAGTAAGCTATAAAATTGTTGTCAATTTTTGAGATTTCTAAATTATTTGATCGAATAAATTTGCTGGTAGAAGTGTCAACTTTTGAATTCACTGGTAGATTAAGCAATTTCAAAAAAATTATTTCACATTGACTGTCAATTAACTGATAGATTTAATTTAATTTTTAATTAATAAAATTAATTTGTTACTAATATTCTTATACAAAAATTGGTTTTAGAATCAGTATTCAATATTACAAATGTAGAAGTAAATGGATGTGTGGGCTCACCGCAGCGCCATTGTGCTTTCAGAAGAGGGACAACACCGCATTTACGAATTGAATTCATTCCAAGTAAGAGCTCTTTTTTTTTTTTTTATCAATCCGATCAATTTTTGGCTTATAAATTTTTGATGGATAAAGTAAAATTTAATTTAACAACTGCTTTTCAATGACTGTAATAAACTAAAGAAGAATGAATTGAACTGTTCAAATTTAATGTATTCAGGTATTACTTCTTCTATTATTATTTTCTGTTAAATATTCTATGAAATGCAGCAGTAAATGCAACAAAATTTATTCTTGACTGTTTTATTTAGACTTAAAAAGAATTGCAAAATGAGTTAAATTTTTATTAAAGTAATCCAAAATGCTAGATTTAATCATTTTGAAATATTTATAATAAATATATATGAATAAAATTAAATTAAATATTAAAACTTTTTTAAGTTAATTGCTTGCTTGTTAAATTTTTATACTCAAATAGTTAATTAACCAACGAGAAATATAAAATTTGCTTTTAATGATGAATCTGCAAATTGCATTTAACCATTTCATTTTATGCTATTATTTTCACACCTATTTTTAGCACGAACAACAGAAACTCTTGAAACTGCAGTACGGGCAAAAATCGCCGGTGGCGTTATTGTATCATTCAATTTGGAAGAAAAAAATCCGTGCAGAGGTGGTAACCTGACATGTCCTCTTGAGGAAGGCAAGACGTACTACTATCAGCAAGGTGTCACTATACTCAAAGAATATCCTATGGCATGTTATACTATTATTTCTCTTTTCTAAAATCCACATTATATGGAAAAGTATAGGTAACAGTTTTACCTACTTAAAAAGGTGTGAGTTACATGAAAATATTACCAATAGATATTTAATTTGTGTGCAGACATTCACCTGGTTATAAGTAATATAATTATTAGACTGATGCAAAATGACAACACCTTCAACTATTAATTTCAAATCATTATCTGAAACATTTATTTGTAAATTAAATTAAAATTAAACAGCAAAAAGTAATCGATATGATTGTAGAACTGGTATGATCCGGTAAACATTGTAGATCAGGTCCGGTAAAGGCAACTTCAAGTTGTTTACTTGAATCGTTGGTATATGACTATAACACAAAAATGAATTTTTTTTTCCACTTATTAATGCTAGCTGTAGGAGTCGAAATTGTGGATATATCTGATAAGCCTGCACAACTCTTAAAGTAATAATGATTTTAATGAGATTTGAAAAACTGTTAGTAGTAGATAATAGCTATTTAAAACAGTAATCATCTTTATACCTATGGCTGTTCAACATTTGAGCCAAATTAAAAAAGATAAAATGTTTAATAACTACCTTTTCATCAAACAATCATTATTTCTCTTAGAGCAAATTTAGTTGAAGTTTCTCTGAAGTTTTTCTTGGAGTTTTTCCGTTCGATCATCAAAATTAATTGTTGCAGTTGTTTTATCTAACGCATTTTGTTTATCCAATTTCCATTTAAGCTCATTTTAATTGAAAACGGTCAGTGAAAAAATAGTTAGTCATCACATTTCTGTTCTTTAAAATCTCCATCTTCTTGAAATAATATTTCACTACATGTTCTTTAGCAATTCTCGAATCAAATAAATTGGCTGATATTGTGAGCTGTCACCTGTTGTGAATTATTTTTTGTCTTTGTTGAGGATCAGAAACAAACAGAAATTTAAAAGGTTTATCTTGATTGTAGAATAAACAAATTCAACTGATGATAGTATTACGTAGACCGTAGAAGCAAAGTAGTTGACGTCGATTACGCTTAGTTTATAAAAGCATAGTAAGACTGTTGAATCTTTATTAATATAATATGATTTTAAGATGAACAGTAATAGCAAAGAAAAAAAAGAAAGTTACGAGTTGTTTGTAATAGGAAATTTCTTTTTTGTTAGTATCACATTTATATATTTGTTAAGAATTGGGAATAATTAAAACAAACATTACACAGAAATTCATTTACATACAAGATAGATGATGGCTTTACAGTATAAGGATTGTAACAAGATTAAATTGGGAGATTAGCATGTGATTTTCAGTTAGATAAGATAAGAAGAGAGAACGAACGAACAAGAATAAAGCTGAAGAATTTAAAATTAGTTAAATGATTCATAACACTGCTAACAATTATTGAAAATTTGAATGATTAATTTTTATATAAATTTATTTTGTTATTTTATTTGAAGTTCCATGACATTGAAATTCGCGACACTACCGCTTAAATGAAAAAATTCTCGAATTTGCTGTCTGTTTAATAATATTTCATTAGCTAAACGGTAAGTAAAGAAGTTATCAAAGATGAATACCAGTTTCATACGAAAGAATAACATTTATTCAATAAGTCAAAAACAATTAGCTTCAATTTAATATGTTATAAAAGCTTATCGTTTATACTACTAACTATTCATTCATTCATTATTCATTAGAATTACCTTATTTCAGGTGGATAATGTACAAATTAATTGGCTTCTCAATGATAAAAGCAACGACGGAGCTGTAAATGATGCTAACAAACGAGAAATATGTATCATATTTTTAGCGAAAATTATTGAATAAATATAACAGTATGCTTATCAGTACATATCATCTTATCAATCACAAAACAATTTGCTAGCAACTTCCTGTGCTTCTAAAGAAGCTATACCTATGATATATAATCGAAATATGATCAATCAATGCTATCCTCAAGCAAAGTGTCACTTGACCTTTCTGTCATTTTGGATCGAATACATCCTCTTAACCTACATAGTTTGGAATAAAATCAGAAAGTAAGGTGTGATTGCAGTAAACAATACCGCAGTTTGAAGCGAACCTGAATACTCGTCGTAACCACGTTTCTCCTACCTTTTCCATAGATAATCATTAGGAATCACAATCTTACATGTCGTCACGCTAACTAGAAAACTTACGTGGCACTGAGAATTTCGTAGCGAGACACGTCATACCCGTGAGACTTTAATCCCCGTCACTGACGTCCTTGTCTGTTTTTAAGTTACTTACGGTGGTGAGTTTACCGGATTGAATTGTTATGAAGACGAATAACATTTCTAACTCTTTCCGGATATGATTTAGACTGATCGCTATTTCATTTTTCTAATTTTCAAAATTGTTTGATGCGTCATTAATGTCGAGATTATATAAATTTAATATCACTTTACCGCTCTTCTGTTTTTGCCCAACAAATTTTCATACAATACAAACAAATAAAACGCACCCTGCAGAGTGAACGCTAATAAATCTGAAACAGAACTTAACTTTTCTACTACAAAATCCCGACGACTTCCTTCAAAAAGTTCACTGCTTCAACTGCTGCTGCTTACACTATCGAATTTGGGTTGGAAGTGCACTGAAACTGCAATGTTGCAATACCTTTCACTATATTACTTCTTACTTTTACCTTCAATATAACCTGTTCTGCAGCTCATCATCGCAACCACAGAAATTCTTTTGTTAAGTTTCAGTTCAACCTGAGCTGCGTTAAACTATTCTCACTTTATTTAAGCAGTAAATCGATGATAGAAAATCCATCAATTTTATTTTCTTCGCTTAATACGATCGCAATGTGCAATTCTGCTTGACGCAGCGTAAATCAAAATTTAATTTGACGAGAAATAAAGTTGCTCTGCACTTTTCAAAATATTTAATTTAAATTATGTCATTTCAGATTGGTGAGGAGGAAATGTTGGAAAATTTAGTCGCTTGGGTTCTTAACAATTATGTAGGAGAATATTTAGAAAATTTGAATACCGATCAGTTAAGCATAGCTTTGTTGCAAGGTATGTCCTGCTTTGCCATCATCACATCATTTATTAATATCTTTCCACTCGTTATTTCGTTTCGATTTTTAAATCAATTATTAAGTTTCTTTTCGAAAACAAATCGGAATTTCAAGTATATAATGTGGTAAAATATAACTTTCAGGACAGGTTGAACTGGAAAATGTTCCCCTGAAGAAGTCGGCTTTGCGTAAATTCGATATTCCACTAAAGGTAACCAAGATTTTTTTATAAATTTTTGAACTAAACTTGTAGTAAAAATTTTAAAATACGTCATAATGTGAATGTCTTCAAAATTTCTAACACTTCTAATGTCGATTTTCTATCTATGAAATTGGTCTTGTTGATTCTTATTTTCCATTTTGTTAGCAATCCATCATGTTAGACACTTTTGCTTAATGATATGCATGCATCCTAAGCTGATGATTACTGTTACTGCGAAGAAATTGACGTCCTATGAGGCAAATTAAGAAAAAAAGAATTCGTTTCATTTCCCAACTGATTTTCCAAAATGTCTTTCTTCAGTTCAATCTAAAATTGCTATGTTAGTGCTAATATAAATTTCCCTTCACCCAACAGCACTTAAAATGAAATTTATATTTGAGGTAAAATCTGGCTTGCTTGGGAAACTTACCCTATCAGTACCATTAACTCGTTTGCGAAGTGAACCATGGGTTATCAAAATGAGTGATTTACTGGTACTTCTGGAACCATCAACATCAGTTCGGTACGATGTTGAGAATGTAGAAATCTATGAGCAAGCTAAAAAGGAGCAGCAATTAGAGGATCTAGAAAAATACCATAAGGTTTGGATTTATTTTCTTTTTTTTCACTTTTGCTTTTTAAACTGCTAATCTTGATGAATATCTACGACTATATGTAGACAATAAAATGATCAAATTTTTGCTAAAACATTTTTCGGCTGAAGTTTGTTGTTTGAAATACCCTAAATATAGGAACTTATAAAACACTTCATATCCATAAAATCGGCAAGATTAGTTTAATCTTTCAAAATTCTTGCCAGTTTTGGTTAGACATTGAAATGTTGAAATGAGTATTATAAACTTACGTAATAAATTTGAAAAAGGAAGTGAGGATTTTTTAAATTTTTTCTTTGAATATCTTAAGGCAAAAATACTTATAGGTTTAGTAAATGTAAAGAAGTTGAGTATGGACGAGTATTTAGGAAATGGGTTATTAAACACCAAATTGCGAGAAAAAAAGAAAAGTGCTAGAAGATTAGGAATTTTACAAAGGAAAGCGAAAGAAGAAATATCTGTAATACTACAGATTCTAAACAGTTTTATATGTGAAAACAAAAGAAGGACTTATGAACATAATTCATGATTTTGCTGAGTATAATGTGTTAAAAAAAAATTTTAATTACAAAACTTTTTTTACAAAAGAAAAGATTTATAAAATCGAATGGTATGGTTTTAATGGCTGAAATATTGTAGCAAAAAGAGATTTCAAAAAACACCATTAATAAGTCAAAGAATTTTTACAAGCAGGTAGTATAATGGTGAATAGGCGTGCTGTCATGAACCTCTTTTAACTCTTTCTTATAACTATTTTCCTATATTAACGGATTTAGTTTAATTTTTATGAATCCGAACCTCAAAACAATGAATAACGTATAATTATTTTAAAACTTTTTAATAGGATTATTTTCAGAGACAATTACTAAGTTATTGGGGTTTGCCTAGCCCAGACAGTGCATCGGAACAAAACTGGTGGGGGGCATCATTAGTATCAACTATCGTTAATAATATTCAGGTATTTAGAGTTTTTTTTTTTTTTTTAATGAATTTGTTTTTATTTATACTTAACCATATTTCAATTTCAAAGCTTTAAAAGTTTGAAATTTAGGAAAAACAGTTCCTGTGTTATCGCAATTATATAATTATAATGTTTTAATTATACAGTGAATTTCCTTTCTATGATTTATGATACTGCTATAATTCTGAACAAAAAAGTGGAAAATAAGTGTTATCATTTTTGTTCATTTTTTCTTTGCAGTTAGTTCTAACTAATGTTCACATACGATATGAAGATGATGTAACATTATCGAACAATATACCATTTGCTTGTGGTGTGCGTATACATAATGTCAGCATGCAAACTACAAATTCACATTGGGTATTTTAATTTGATTTGTTTACTTCTTTATTTTATTTCAGCTAATGAAGTGACATTAGACAGACAGTAAATTGACAATTTTTTCATTTAAAATTGGTTCATGAATCAAAAGTCATATTTCGCAATACAGCACAATATTTACGTTTTGTTTGTTGTAGATGCATTCTTGAAGTTCTATAATCTTTTTTGCTGAGATCTTATAGTTTGTATTATGGAAGTAATAGAGGATAATTTTGATCCGTCATTGATTTCCTCCAATGCATTCATTGCTTCCAGAAATATTACCTTATTAAATCATAAAAAATCAACGTCGTTAACGGCGATTTTAAAATAGTGACGTTATTTGCAACTAATGATTTTTTTTTTTTTTTGGTAGCTAAAGATATAGGCTTCGGGATAAAGTATGAGAATCAAATTTAATGTTTTTAGGAAACTGGATACATGCAACCACGAGATGGTGTAAATATGTTTAAAAAATTAGGGATAGAAGGTTTATCGGTGTACTGGAATTGTGGGCAGCGAGTCACTGGAGAAATCAAGAGCTACATGGATCTTCAGGTCTAATTTCTCACCTGTTTCTTCCGTTTTAAGAAATTAAAAATTCTGGAATGATCTTTATCTTGCTCAGTGAGAAGTGATATCATTAAAATCAGAATTTTGAGTGTTTTTATTGTTTTTACCGGCAATGAAGTATATTAATTGAAGTATATGATGGCACCAGAAATCAGTAAAGATAATGTGTGTATCCTTCAACCGTTCAGTGCTCATTTATATATGGAAAGAAATACGAACAAATTTCCTTTGAAAACATATCCTTATATTCCTAGATTTAAGGTACGTTCACAAAATTTTTGTCTGAACCGCGTAGATAATGTAGTTTTGTCATTTCTATGAAGGATTCATAAGCTAACTTCTTTTACATTTTGTTTTTTGTGTGTGGATTAATTTTCTTTTATGTTATGCTCGAAGAATTGAAAATTTTTTTTTTTTTCAAAAATTTTTTTCTATTTTGCAGCAATTTTTTTTTCTATCAACAAAGCAATATCGCTTTAAAAGAAAAAACTTATTTCTTTTGCAGTTTAATTTGTGTCCTGAGAAAGTTGTAATTGAACTGACAAAACGACAACTCTTGGAAATGAGTTCATTAGGAAAAGAATGGGCTCGGTTTGACAGGTCACGACAACATCGAAAATGGCGGCCACTGACCACTGTTGGTGAAAAGTATGTACTGTCAGTAAAACATGAAGACTTCTTAGAGTATCACATTTTTGCTGATTAACAATTGAACGAGAAATGAGAATATTTACGTGATGTATATCATGGAAATTGAGGCTTGTATCTTCATTAGGATTACTTTTTTAGTGCAAAAGAATGGTGGAATTTTGCATACAATCGTGTACAGGACCAAGAAAGGCAAAGAAAAATAAGACATACTTGGAGTTTTGCTTATAATCGTGCAAAACAACTGAACTCATATTGTCGAGCTTATCGACGGAGGTTACTATCTTACTTGGAGACATCTGCAATCTCCGTATGCCCTGTTTTATATTCTTTTTTATGTTATTGTTTTCGAAGTTTATGTGTAATTTTTCATGACAACTCTTATTTTCATAATTGATATCTAAATCTTTAAAAAAAAAACTATTACTGGAAAATACTTTTCCTAGGCTAGTCGTCAGTCGAATAAATTTAATGAAAGGTATGAAACCTCACATTTTGGGAATGCTTTTGGACAAAATTATGATGCGGAACATACGGAAGAAGTGGGAACAATTACAACTTCATCAAATTTAACGACCACTGCTTCTTTAAGAAGATCTGCAAACTCCGAGGATTTAATTTTGATGAAACAAATCGAAAGAGATTCCAATTACACCTATCATGTGAGTTCCGAGTTTCTAGTGCAGTTTGAATTCTAATTTCTCAGTATTTTCATGTTCGGATGTCAGTAAGCGTTAATGCTATCTGTTTTAGTGCTACGCTCACAAACTCAAATTATTGAGCATTACAAACGAGCAATTGTTGTATTATAAGTATTGAGAAAATGTTGGAGTAGACATTACTCAATAAAATTCAATTTGAGCATAAATCCGATGAAATTGTTTTTTAGGAATTACAATTGTTTCGAGAAACGGTATATCGGCGGATCCTTGCTGAAAAGGAAGCACGTCTGTGTAGCGAAAATGGATTGCAGTCGGATGATGAAAGTTTTGAAAACATCGGCTTTCGTTAGTGAAGTTTTTTAAGAGTAAAATGTTAATACAAAATTATTTTGGTTCTGTTTACATTTAACATATTATGTATGCAGATTATATATTCTATATCTTACTTATAGAGGCATTGAATAGATCAAAGATTTTATATAAAATATTGCTTGTTTCAGCTGTACTTCGCAGTGACTCAGATACTGATAGAACAACCAGTAGTAATCATTCACATTCTGAAGAAAGAACAAAAAATTCTGGTGGTGGATTATACAGTTGGTTGAGTAGTTGGATATATGGTCCACAAAAAGGTTCTCAGTATTTTTCTGGCTTAGCTAATTTATTCAGTTTTGCTTTGTTGCCTAACCAAATTGAATCATTATTGCATCTAACTAGTTCTCTTTAGAAACTGTTCAGTTGCTGTTATAACCTAAGTCAAATAGAAAGCACTGAATTAAAACACACATTAATTAGAATTCTGAAAAGAAAATTAGACAAATTGAGACATCAGAAATTTAAACTCAAATTTCTACAGAGGAAGCAAAATCAGAAAAAAAGGATCATTATGAATCAATGCTCGATATGTTATCTACCAATGAAAAAGAAAGCTCTTTTTCCACAGATTTCAAGCTGCTTGAAAAACAGGTAAGTAATTTTCTCTTTTTTTTTCTGTCCTCTTTTTTCTATCGTTTTTTTTAGGGAGTTTTAAAGGATTTCTTAATTTCTGAAAAATTTGCAAAGAATGACGGAAATATTAAAGGTTGAAGATGAAATTTTGGATGTGCTGAACGAGAGCAGGGATGATTCAACTATACTACATCGTGATACTCTACTAGCGGAAGTAAAATTGAAACTTGAAAGGATGACAATACGTTTTATAGAGGATTTTGAGGTAATTTGTTATAAACTACCTTGGTTTTAAAAAACAGGTATCAAGTTTTTCCCAGTAGCATGCATTAAAAAGTTGACCAGTCGATAATTGTATTTTTTATAGTTTTCCTTCTGATTACTCAGATCTTTTTTGCAAGTGCACAAAAAAAAAAAATTAAAGAAGCTGCAAATAAAGTCTAAAATAGGCTTTCTTTATCAGTACGTCACATCGTTGATCAAACAAAACTTTTCACACAATTCAAAAAGTTTTCAGACTTATGCTTTTTACTTCAAGCGTTTTACTTTTGCCATTTATGCATGAAAAACTATGAAGGATTGGAAGCGGAATTTTATGAAACTATCGAATTAGTAAAATATCAGTAAGAAATTCTTAAAACATGAGTTTCAATTACAATGTTTAGAATCGAAAAGATGGAAGTACGCGAGTGCTGGCGATGGATCTGTGGCAGTTAGCAAGCTGTGTTCATCTTAGCCCACGTCGCCATAGTACGGCTGTGTCACTTACTGTTAAAGATTTGAGTCTGCAAAGATTATGCACTTTCCCTGCGGAAGATACATTAATCGACAATACGCAAGATGGTTAACAATTTTTCTCTATTTATAAATGTGCAGTTCGCACTTCACAGTGTGAAAAAATAAAGTTGAAGCTGTTAGTATGAGGTCATCTTTATCAATTTGTTCTAGACGAAACTGATAGACAAGAAAGCGAATCGTTGATGTTTGGATTTGCCAAAGAAACAACTCAAATCTTATTTGCAATTGGGAAAGCTGGAAGAACTAGTAATCGAAATACTTCAGAGTATACCAAAAGCAATGATTTGAACGATGCACTTTTCCGGTAAATTTTCTTTCAAAATCTGATATTTAAATTAAACTCTTTGCAGATACGATTTATCTCGTAGTTTTTCCTAGTTGTCCTTGCTGATGAATCAGTTGCTTGTCAAATTAGAGCTTTTCAGCTTTATTTATTTATTCATTTTTTTTTTTTTTTTTTTGAAGATTAGCATACCATCGTCGTGCTCCAAAGATGACGGTGACACACACGCTTGATGTAAAATGCAGTGAATTATCAGTACTGTATAATGAAGGTGCTTTTGATGATTTAGCTACCTTTTTCAACGATAAAAGCACAATAAAACAGGTACGTAAACAACCTTTGTTTATAAACGAAAATTGTGTTTTACTAGTCGATTTTGTTATCTCATTTAATGGTGAATGTGTTTTTTTTTTGAAAATAATATACAAAGGTTAAGCGTTGGATTATAGTGAGATTTTTGGGTCCAGGTTGAAAAAGGGGAATAGTTAATCATAATAAGATTACAGTTAATAAACAATATTTGGGATGTAAGATATATGTTAAAACATAATTTCTTTTTAAAAACAATATTTTTATTTATTATAGGATAAAAATTTGGATCCTATATTGATGGAAGTTATCACTGTCATTGACTTCGTTATTCATTGTCCCCAAGTTTGTAATTATTTTTTAATAATATTCATTCAGTTTAAAATTCTAGTCGTTAACTTCTTTATGCTAAGTTCCAGAACACTAGAAATTCTTTTTTTTTTTAAATATGTATTTAAATTAGCAAATACGAAAGTAGAGCATGCAAGCAGGATCGTATTGTACATACGTTTCGGAAGGAAAGTTTGAGATTTTTTCGTGAAAATTTCGATATCTTTAAATTATAGATAAAAGTGGAGTTGCGTAGCAAACGGGGGAATTTACTAGATCGAAAAAAGAAATCAGCAACGTCGACACCGTTTGCTCTGGGAGATATGAGGGATTTAGTTGTTGGAATAACAAATAGAGAACAATTTATTACAACGGTATGGATTTGGAGGAATCTATTTAAAACATCTCATCTGATAAGAAATATATGATTTTCAGGTATTCATATTCACAGGATGATATAAGTTTTATTCTTTAACACAAAAACTGAAAAACCAACAGGTATTCTTAACAACTGCTGTAATATTTAAGGTTAAAATTGATTTTGATTCGTTGGAAATTAAAGATTTGTTCGAGCCGACAAGCGATGAATTATTATGCATAAGAAGTCAAACTTCTCTTAAGGTTTTCGTAAATTATATCTGATGTAGTTAATTTCGCTTTTTTAGTCATAAAATACAGCTTACTTTTCTGTGATATTTATTCAATAAAAACGGCGAATAATGTTTAGAAACAAATGTCTGTCTCATGTCCAAGTTTGAATGTTGACGACTTACGGTGCAAATCTTCTTTATCTCAGCGACGTATACGCAGTCTCAGTAAAATATTTTTTATTTATCAAGAAACATCTCCAAGTTAATTTTCTGTTTTAATTCATTTAGGTGGATTTTTAATAATTTTTGTAAGCTTCAAAAAGCCACTCAAAAAAGCATATAGTACTGTTAATGAATATATTTTAATGTGTGCAAATGATTATAAAATTCAGGCGTAAATTCACTACCTAGCACCGTGGATAATAGTAAAAATGAAAGATTGGGAAGCCCGCAGGAGAGTGCTACTTTCAATAGTACTGCATTAAAGAATATTGACGTTGTTGGTGCATCTCATTTCACTTGTCTTTTAATTGGTAAAGAACACCCATCTTTTGAATCTGAGTATAAAAAAGTGGGTACTTTATTCATTTGTTGCTTTATTTATTTATGATTAAAAAATTCAGAAAATGTAAGAGATATGAAATGGATTTTTGATTTAGAATTATGACTCGTAATATCGGTGCTTGCTTAGAGTAAAAGAGCCTTGGTATATAATTTTTATTTAGTTCTATATTGCAGTATTTATATGTTACTGCAAATGCTTTTTTGAAGGATGAAGTGATAGAAATGAGTTTAAAATAATATATATTGTTCTGTGGAATTTAAATGCTTGCCAAATCTATTTGATTGTGTAGGTAAGCTGTTTGATAAACATGGATGTACCAAAAATAGAAATATGTATGAATCGACGGAGTTATACACTATTGCTCGATTTTTTTGGCTTGTTGGAACCAAAAGCGGAACTTCCAGAAGACTATATCGAAATTCAAGCTCATCCATCTGCAGCTAGTACAAATATAGCTTTACAAGACCTAGGTTATTTCTAAATGTTTCCTTCAAAATAGTAAACCTTCACTGCTGCTCAAAACGAGGTTATTTTGAGATTGTATACAAAATTTTTGGAAAGAATTCATATTGAATATCTATTCTTTACGAAAAAGATATTAACAGTACAAGTAAAAATTTGAGGGCCAGTTTGTACAGGGAGGAGAATTATTGAGATTTATATGATAGTTGTTGAAGTAAAAGTTTGTAGTTCACCTGTTAGTTTTAGTTTCAGTTTTAGATGTTAATAATCTTAGGAAGAATTCAGTTATATCGATTCACTATTGCTCAAAATGAAGTTCAGTGATTCTGTGAAAATGTTTAATCAAAATTTTTTTGATCATAATGTGATTTTTATTGCAGAACCATATAACATGAAAGTTAAATTTAATGCTGGATTGATACAAATAGTGATGAATTATCCAACAAATAAATCTCAGTTGGGTGTAATCCGAGCAGAGGAAGTGTTTATGATTGCGGAGGTGAGGGATAGTTCAGAATTAAATGCAAGAATTCTAGATTTTTCTTGTTACTCTTTATTCCTTAATCAAAAGTTTAGTTTAAGTTGTTCTACTTGTTATCTGTTTCTTCTGTTTGCATCTCATCAAGTTTTCTTTTTTTATTTTCGCGTCACATTTCTTTCGCCCTCGAAGTTGTTTAGTTTCTTTATGTTATCCGGTGTTGTTGCTTTTTGTAGGTAATATAAAGAAAATTTTCAGAAGCTTATGTTTCCATAATCCTGCCAACACGTAGAAATAGTATTACCGTAGTAAAATAGATGACTTATAGGCAAGGATCAATGACAACGAAGTACCATTGGAAATATCGCTATCGCTGGGAAATTGTTCACTGTCGGATAGTACACCTTTTTATTCAGAATTGTACAGTGAACGTGTTAATCTTCGAGCGTTACCAAATAAAAAGGAAGAAGTGGAACAAACTTTTCATTCAGATGACGAAAATCAAAAACATATGTTACCTTCTCGCACAACTCTCCACATTACCAAGTAATATTTATTGGACAAAAGTTTCGTGTTAAAAGCTATATTATTTTCTTGTATTAAAATTTTTAGTAAACCGACTTGATATTAAAGTCATAGCACTAATCTGAAATGGTGCCAGTTTAATTTAAATGTGTTCAACAATAAGCAGTAGCAGTAGGCTCAGTATTTCCACTTAATGAGAAAATGAAAAAGTGGCATGTTAATTTGAAAAAGAAAGAAAAATCAAAATTAAAAAGTGAAAGCTGTAGGTGTCTATGTGCCACATCAGCTGCAGCAAAGGGATATGACGCAAGTATTATGTTACGAATACCACCAACAGTTAGCATATCATATGTTCATACACATCGTTATTTTAATGCATTATTGGATTTTTGGCAGCATTTTATAGAGCTACAGAATATTGTCATGCGAAATAACATTTCATCTCCAAACATTCAAGTAAGTTAACTGTATTAAATATCTAGATTATCGAACCTTGTCACATCTATATGTTTCATCGGCTGTCGAGTGTGGAATATAATGTTATTGTATTTATTCTAAAGTTCAATATGATTTAGAAAGTATTTTAATTTCTTCAGATGAACAATGATGTGCGAAGCAGGATAAAGCTAATTTGTGAAATTGAATGTCCGTGCGTTATTGTCCTTCCACTCAATCAATTGTCTAATCAAGTGCTTCTCTGTGAAACTGCTAATATTCGTATCAATAATCGATTCCAATTATCATCTTTAATTCCTAAGTTTCAGGATTTCGAAATTACGAATGCTTTTGGTTTGTTATTTCTTTCAATTTCTTATAATTCATTCTTTACTTTTTTCAAGAAAATTTGATTTTTTTTTTAAACTAAGCATCTGTTCTTCTGTGCAAAATTTGGTAATTTAGTTTTTATGTGCAATATGATCGAGAAGTTTTTCTTGGTTGATTTAAACAAGAATGTTAACTAATAAAACATCAAAAGTTTGGATATAATAATAAGACATAACAAGAGTAATATTAAGATGATGACGATCACGATTGCTGCATTGATTGGATGTCAGTAGTTTGTACTGAAACATCACTTTATGAAGGCGTAAGGGTATCAAACACCAAGGCTGGAGTTCGCGAAATACCAGGTGATATTTTTTGGCTTACATCTAGAATTTGAAAATGTTCTTATACAAATATTGGAATCATAAAAACGTCATATGGAAGTAAAAAAAGAATTAGAAATAAGAAATATAATGAAACAGCAAATTTAAGAAGCTAAAATGAAAAGATAATATTAATTTTGATTGCGTTTATGTGAATGTTTTAGACTTATATAACATCTAATTCTTATGGCTAATAAAGAAGAAAGTAAAATTTTAGGTTATGAAAGAGTGTGCTGCGATATGTTTCAGCATTTTCATTTCTTAAGTTCGCGAAAAAGTGTACTTTCGAGACCTTGTGATTTGTTAATAGATATTTTTCGAAACTTGGATATTTTTGTTTCTCACAGAGGTGAGCAATCTCTTTTGTTTTCAATGTGTGTTGAAAATTTTTTAACCAATTTAAATTGTAAACTGTTTTGATGCATTTAGTTTTGGGAGAGAATTAGTAGGTATTAAACGCTGAGCTTATTAAATTGCCTTGAAAGTTTCTCATTTTTTCCTGGAAATGATACTGAGAAAATAAAATGAACTTTTTATTACCCATTTTTTTGAAATTCTATTTGAATTTCCACTTTTTTGTATCCTAGCATTTTTCCCATCTTTCTAATATTGATCGTAATACATTTTAGTACCAGACGTAGTAATTACTACGTCGCTCGCCAACCTAAATGTCAAGTTAACCACTGAGTTTTATCGATTACTGCGCGGCTTCTTATCGATGAACTTAGGTGATGCTTTAGTCCTCGCATCAGAAACAATACCCATCGAAGTTTTGCAAAAACCTGCAGAATTCCATGCAAGTTTTCAATTGTGTTTTTTTAAATCGCTTTTTAAGTTATGTAAATGTCTTAAGCTTATTGTTTCATTTTTTCTTATCGACATGTTATGACTTATGTTTCTGGAAATTGAAGATATCATCTTTATTGTTACTTGGAGATTGGAGGCCATTTATACTGTTTTATATATGTTAAAAACGTTTTTTATCGACATTAAACTTAAAAAATTTATTGTAAGGTTTGTATCAAGTTTTAATTTTTCCGTGGCAATAATATTTTTCAGGAAGTTATTGGAGTGAGCAGTAAATATGCATCGTTTTCATTTCGAATGACGCTCATAAACGTTGAAGTGAGTGCATTATTTCTTGAGTTGAGGATATCAGTAAGGAATATTTTAAGAATTGGATTTTAAATCTATTTGGTGTAACTATGTATATTTCGTTGCAGTTTAATTGTTTTGTGCAATGTGAGAATTCTCAAGGATTTGTACCATTAGCTGGAGTGAAATTGAATTCCTCACGCATATCATTTGATGTCTATATCGATAATCAGTCAGAACTAGATTTAATTTGCGAAAGTACTGAACTAATCGACATGCGATTTTTTGGTATGAGAAAGTTAATGCTTAATAGAAGGAATCGAAAAAGCTTTCATTAATAATCGAAAGAAATAGAATATATTAAATATGATCATTTAAATTTATCGTTAATATGTGTATCTTTTAAAATCAACTTTCTGAATGGAGTTTTTCAAGAACTCGGGAAGATTCCAAAGAAATAAATTTAATTAAATTCCTGTGTTGGCTTCTAGCTATAACTTATCAATGACTCAAAGGTGATTCTTGATTCATAAGTGATTCTCGATTAAAAGTGATTCTAAATGTTGTTTCTTTTTGCAGATATGGAATTTAATAATAGAGCGAATGTTTTTTATTCAGTTCTCTTTCCATTATCCAAGGCGGATTCAAATAGGTGCGTTTCATGTCTGTGTTCAGTTTTGTTTGTTGACTTTTGACAATGAAGTGAAGTACTTGTACCTTAATTTAGCTAATGATAAGAAATTATATCGACTGAAATATCATTGCACTAATTTTTATCTTTTTAACTTATTTATTCTTGTTTTGTTTTACTTTTGACCGTGAAGGAGTTTTACACAAAAATATTAAAAACCACAAAACTGATGATTGTTTATCAAAATTAATGATAATTAATGTAGGAATTATGTTTTCATTATTGTGATTGCGAATGATGATCTAATTTTCATTTAATAGTCTTTTGATCTTTTTTCGGTTTATTTTTGTGAAAAATGAGCATAGTAATAAGTTACAGATAATGCTTCATTTTCAGAAGTAAACTTATGTCCGAAGCTCATATTGTTTTTAAGTGTGATGAACCACCAGTAATTACATTGGTCCTATTAAATGCACGAGTGCTTTTGCTATTAGATTGGCTTAATGATGTGAAAAATTTTTTCCTTCTTCATTCCGACTTCATACCGCCAGGTTATCGAAAATTAAAGTTTTGAAGAAACATTAGAACATACAACAAAAAAAAAATCGTTTTCTTTCAAAGCGCACAAGTGAAACGATGAATTTAACATATTTTTTTAGTGGAAGATGCATATCGAGGCATTGTACGCACAACGAAATTAGGAATTATGGAAAGAGATCCACAAATTCATGAGTCTGTGGAACAAACTTTTTCTTTAAAAATCACACTAAAAGAATGTGATTTAATACTTCTTGAAAAGCCAGAATCTCTGCACAGTTTGGCTCTTGTTGCTCACACTACTGCTGTCTTGAATATGAACGATGCACGCAAATTGTTTAATGTTAATTTAGAGATACAGGTATGTTTAATATTTTAGTTTTATTGCAGGTTAATAAGCATTTATATGGTCTATTTATCTTCGATATTTATAAGGAGCAGAATTATGTATAATGAGTTGCATTGCATACTAATATTATTTTGTAGCGAATAAACTTGGACTGGTTTATGATGGCATCTGAAAGTGAAAGCAGATGTCAATTAACGAATGATTTCTCGATGACAATCAGCCTTTCAGTGGAAAGTGATACAGATGTCGAAGGGCAACCTCCAAAACTTGGACTTTCTTCAATTATTCCCATTAAACATCAGCTTGTAGTAAGTTTTCTTTTGTTTTTTTGTTCAAATTAAGAGTATTCTCGTTTACTTAAAATCTAGAAGCAAATCTTTCAAAAATAGATACTCATATTCTGACTTGTTTTCACTGAATTAACATGTTTTTATAGGCTGAAATTAGTGATATGGTGGCTAGGGTGTCATATCGAGACCTTCATGTAGTTCGGAATGTTCTCACTTCCTCACTAGAGAGATTGAATAAGTCGCTGGAAAAAAGTGCTGTTCCAATACATAATCCTTATTTGGCTGAAAGAGGTAAAATCTTCTGAAAACTGATCGATTCTGCCGCAAATATACTATATAAAGTAAGATTAAGATCAAATAAGTTTCGAATTCACTTATTTACTTTTCTTTTGCAGAAGGGCATCAATCACTGTTTTCCGCACAATCATGAAGGGCAGTCAGATTTCTTTTTGGTTAATGGATGATCATCAAGGAACAGTTTTTCCGCTTATTCGATGCAAGTTTAAAAGTTTGTTTTATACTCCTATGAGTTTATCTGTTTCTCTTTTTTTCATTTCTTTGGACAACCGCCAGTGATTGGATACTACTTAAGTAGGAATACGAAACCAGCTGCTAATACTAAGTAGTACCAAACCCCATTTTTGATGAATTATTAAAACTTGCTGTATATGATGTGCTCTTCTGTTATCTTTGAAGAAATAGTTCTTTAACTTAAAACTTTTTGTTTAGAATTTTGTTTAAATCGATATCTGGAGAAGGTTAATGGCTCTTTCACGTTTGTTGCGGATTATTTCAATCAAAATGTTTTTGGTTGGGAACCATTAATTGAAGATTGGGAGTTAAAACAACTATCGGTGCTTACTAAGAAGAACACGACAGTTATAGACGTTTTTGCTGGTAAATATGAGTACTCAATCTATAATGGCATGACAGTTGAATAGTTTGTAGTTTTACTAGGCACTGTAAAGAATATTTCTTGCATGCGGCAGTTTATGTTGTATTTCGCTTGTTAGCATGATTTATTTACTTCATTTCATAATGTTTTGATGCGATGCACAATTTTGCTATGGCAGAATAATTATTAGCAAAATTTCATTGCAGGTGAATTCAGTACTTTTAACGTCAATATCACTCAAGCATTTTTGCGACAAGCAGTACGTTTCAGTTTGCAATTGTCTGAAATCAGACATTCTTTGGATGAAGATTTTCGGTAAATTTTCAATAGTGTTAGTTATATGAGGGATATAGTTCTACACTTTCTTTTTAATATAAAGCTTATCTAGGTTTTTCGGAAATGGATAAATGCTGCTTCAATGTGGACTACATTATCATAACAACCTTATAATTCCAAGGCAACAAATGTTTGATAAACAAAAAAATTTTTTACAAATCTAGCAATTAAATTCTTCTGAAATTTACATAAACAAATGAATACTTTTAGGGGGTCATGTGTTCGATCAAGATCGGATCATCTTCCTTATATTTTGCACAATGAAACCGGTTCTAGTCTACGTTTCACAACAGCTACTGACGAAGTTCTAGAAGCTAGATCTATGCAAAGGAAGTCCACAGCCAAATGGTATCAAACAGCGGCAGATGCATCCACTACTTTCGAATTTCCCACAAAACGACTTACTATTGCAGTTTGTTTTCAGTTCATTTATAACTAAATCAAGTCTTTTTACTTCTTTTTATTTGTAAAATGAAGTTTTTCAAATAATCAAATTTTGAAGGAAAATTCGGAAGAAATCCATCAGCTCATAGTACGTGTTGATGGTTGGGATGAGATATCTCCAGTAAATGTGGATGCAGTAGGCACATATTTTCGACTTGCTAGATGTTCAACTTCCAGAGTTGCAGACGTAAGCTATGCTTAAACTTTAAAAAGTTGAAAAGTTATTGCTTGATTTGTTCATATGTAATATTTCATGAACTGGAAGATGTTCGTACCAGTTTTTTAGAGTAATTTTGGTATTAATGTTCGTTTGGTGATTGTTGTTACAATGGATAAGAATGGTCGAAAAGTAGTGACTATAAGATCTGCACTAACAGTTATCAACCATCTTCTTGATCCCATTTTATTGATTCTTACCTGTGGAAGTTCGAAAGTTCCAGGTTTGTCAGTTTTTTAAACTGCACTGAAAATATTGAATAATTTATGAGATTTGAATGTACCACTTGAGTATATTTTTCAAATATTTTGTTGAAGAAACATCAATCATTCGAGTTGATCCGAAGAAAACATTGCATGTACCACTCAAATTCGCGAGTGCTTCAATGGCTGTCAAACCAGATGGTTGGAATTGTTCGAAGACTCATGAAGTATTTTGAAAAATTATTGAAAATCTTTTATAAAATTTTCAAACTGAAATGTATGTTTTAATTTTAGGTCAAATGGCAAGAAGCAAAGAGTGCAGGGGAAAGAATCAATAAATTGTTGAAATTTGATATATTTGATATATGCTATTGGTAAATTTGTATTTTTTTTAAGAACATTATCTAGCTTTTTACTTAAATTTGAAGGTTTTCAGCACTCATTCAATCCTTTAATTAAAATGAGTGATTATAGCTCGTTTCTTTCAGGATGTGCTTATCTATAAAACGAGAACATTATCCGGAATACGAAATGCTGTCTGGGCATACAATAAGCTTCTCACCTCCCCTTTCGGTCCTCAACTTATTACCGGTTGATGCAGAATTTCGTATTTTTAATACAAAATATGCTGTTTCCGCCAGCAAACAAGTGCAAATTACATCTGTGAGTGTTTTTTTTAACTTTTAACTTAAGGATTTGAAAATTTTTTCTGTCTCCAAAATTTGTTCATATAAAGTATCATATGCAAGCCTGATAGATTCTGAAGACAGAAGTTCTGTTTTTTTTTTGACTTTATTATCAGGATGCTGAGTTGCAGGTTAATACCGCCGAAAATATCAGTTTTGAGGTCGTCACCGATCGATTTGTCTCAGTGCGCGAAGTTACGGTCACGAAGTACGTAATTCAAGAAAGGAGTAATTATTATTTGAAGCTTTCTTTTATTAGCAGTACACTCATCAAATTGAGTTTTTTGAGTTTACAATTCCTTGAACTTAATTTTACTTATAAAGTTGAAATTATATTTTATTTTAAGAAATTTGATATCATATACTTTTCAGATCTTCACTAACCCAAAAAGCCGGTGATGTAGATCGCTTACATCTACGCATGAAAGATTCGAAAAAACGATACCTAGACATGTACTGTAGTCTAAGTATTGGTAGTAGTGGATCTGTTTTGCTGGCCTTGTGGGTAAGTTTTGCTTTCATTAATTTGATTTCTACCGTTCTTGTGGAACTACAGGTTAGCTGATTTGTGGATCATTACCAGAGCTAAAAAATCCTAACATTTCATTATCTTTGATCCTTCTTTCTGTAAAAATCGATTTAACCCTTAAACTTCAAACGAATATTTATTGCTTCTACATTCTGATCTTGGAAAATTTTTAATATACTTTTGTAGGTACCATACTGGATCGTTAATAAGTCCGGTATTCCACTAATTATTAAACAGGAAGCAACAAATGGTATAGCTGCTGGACAAATGGAAGAACATGAAAGTGCAAAGGATCGAAATCCATTGATGTTTTCATTTGCTAACGATAACTGTCCACGACAGTATGTTTTGAAATGAATCAAAAAATTTAATTTCAGAACAACTGTCGTACATCTTAATATTGTGTAGTCAGAAATTTATTTTTGCAGATGTACTATTAGGATCGGCAAAAATCATACCTGTGATCAGAGTTACAAACCATTGTTTGGACCCAAGTTTCCACTTACAGTTGGGTTACACTCCATGAAATTACGGCTAGTTCATGATCAACATCCAACACAGTTCGTTTTCACCTTCAAGTTTTGATTTTTCAAAAATTTTTTTTCCACTAACATACATGTGATCAATTTTTGAATTTAATCATTACAGGATATACAATATTGGTGTAGAAGTACGACAGGGAACTGGTAGGTACAAAGATACCCAAGTTGTTATGCTTACCCCACGTTACGTGCTCAGTAATCAAACTTCTTTCGGACTTTCGCTAAGCCATATCGATCGTATCGATGTATGTGACTTTTGTTGTATCCAGTAGGCGAGATGATATGAAGAAAGTTGCAATATAATAGCTCAGAATTGTAGAGTTAGTGATGTACAAACGTCATTCCACTTATGAACTAGATTTTTACTTTAAAGGAGTTTAGAAGCAAGTTTTGTCCATTTTATCTCAGTAAATGATTAATAAAAAGCTTTTTTTTTAGCAACCCAATGAGCATGTAAAAGTGGCTAGCAAGTGCAGCCTAATTTGGAATGAAAATTTTGAAGACAATCGAATGATATGTGTAAAACGTGATGATGTCAAGTATTGGAGTTGTCCATTTAGAATCGATCTCATTAGCTCCTTTCATGTTACTATGAGGTTTTAATTTTTATTATGGAAAAATATAGAGGGTGCTTTGATCAATAATATATGCAAGAAGATTTAGGTGGTAAAACTTTTCGAACGATGCGCAATTTTCCAAAATTTCTTCCGGAAGAATAACACTTTGGGGAATCATATTTAATGTTAATTGAGCAAAAAAAAAAAAAAAAAAAATGCATTTTATCACATTTTTTGCGTTTTTGTATGAATCGATCATTCATAAGATAAGTTGACTAGGTATTTTTCCTTTATTACACAAAATTATTTTTCTTCCAATGTTATTCATTTAAAGAGATGTAGATGAAACTCCTCAGTTTCTGAGAGTTGAAGTGATACTCAACAGTGCTATATTTTACGTTACTTTCACGGACGTTCGTTACTACCCACCACCAATTCAGCTAGAAAATCTATCCGACGTTCCTGTGTTATATCAGCAAAAAATTGAAAGGTAAAATACTAGTAAACATACCTTTATTTTAACATTATTGTATACATTCTTTGTAAATTTAAATGTTTTGATATCACTACTAATTTTTGTTAGATAAGATATATAAAGTCACTTTTTATTCTTGCTTCTATTTTTCTTATGCGATTCATTATTATACAGAATTTGCTTCTTATAGGCCTTGTTCTCATTTGCGTACGATTTGTAAAGCACGAAGTGCAGTAGATTATGCTTGGGACGATCATTACGCACCAAAATTATTGATCCTTCAAGTGTTCGAGAACAAATCGAATTTTTATGATCCACAAAAGCCAGGAATGGGACCACCTTTGGTGTATACTAACGATGTTTTTATCAAATTTGCGCATTCTTTCAACAGGCAGTTTTTTCATTATTCTTCTTTGGAATGAAAAAAAAAATTTTTTTGGTTTCTAATCATAATGTTTAGCTGCATTCCATACTTGTTGTTTTGATCGATCATGACTGAACTTCATACTAGATTCATTCTGAGTTTATATAGCATTTTATATTTATTAATGAATATTTTGTTTTGTCTATTGACTGAATAATTTCAAGAAAATTTTGCAGGAAACCGAAAGACGGCTTCACAGATGAACTTGAATTGGCTTTGGAGGTGCTACATAAAGGGAAAGTAATACTTAATAAACTAAATCCCAGCGACAGTAGTCGTAATCAGTTGTGGCGTTTTACACAAGATGGTTGTCTTGAAAATATTGGAATGAATAATCGCGCAAAAATGGGCGAACGCTACGTGCTTGACGTTCTGGATAATGGTGGATTTGTGTTAATGATGTTGAAACGAAATTCAGCAAGGGACCGTTTTCAAAAATGGCAATTTACATCGGTAAGAATGAAGTCTTAGACGCTTGTTTTCCCGCTGTAGAACACACTCAAAAATTATAGTGCTACTTAACACTATAAAATACGCATTAAAAAAAAAAATTATGTGCACTACATGAAATTGTAGTGCTTAGTTAATTGAGCATATAAATTAGCTTTTGAAATTCTATTCTGATAGGAATTTATTTTAGGTTGTTACAATTGAATGAAATTTCCAGGAAAAGCAATTACGTTGTAAAGTGGAAGGAATGTTTGTTGAGGCACGCAAAACAGAAGTTGTACTTGCTATCCCAAATAAGAAATCTATATTGAATAAGAAAGGAATTCCACTTGAGCAGATATGGGAGTTACAGTCGCAACTCCCAGGAAGTGGCATTTTAGATGTAGAATGTTTTCACAGAGGACCTACTTTGGTAGCTTTTACATTTTTCACTACTTTTTCAAATTCAATTTTTTAGTTGTAGTTTTAATTTTAGCTCTCTGTACGCAAAACTAGTTTTAAAAATCCCTATAGTTTTATAATTTCTGATAAAATAGCGTAATTTATCATGCTTTGTTAAATCCATGAATTTCTTTTTAAATTATTCTATAAATCAGAACTGTCAGGTTCTTTCAAAAAAAGGAAAGGAAAAAGCTGAGTTAATTTGTAATCTTTTGTTATAAGGGGTTGACGAGATGTATTTGAAGGTAGTCCGCATAACGGATCGGCAAAAATCATGTCAGACACATGCAATGTACCGTTCTGGTCAGTTATTTCATTTGCAACCACCATCCAATGGTTGTGAAACAAATTTTAACAATGTGTGGAATTTTGAATTGAATGTTTCGATGCAAAATGGTAGGCTTCCTAGATTTTTACATCTTTATTTCACTTTTGCTTAAAAATAATAGATTTAACTTTTAATCACAATTTATTACAATTATATAATTTGATCTTCAGTTAGTAGGAAATAATTAATCGGTCTCCTAATTGACATATATTACATCACTTCATTACAGAATGATATATATATATATTGAATAGAATGATATAATGATATAGAGTGATGTAGATATATATTGAATAGTATGAAACACTGCAGTATTATGAATTTTCTTCGTTTTTGAAATATTGTAATGTCATTTTTCATTTCATCCTATTGCTGCTTAAATCCTGGATACAAAGTAATTCATATTGAGTATACTTTTTGTAGGTATTGGCCTATCTTTCATCAATGGATTACATGAAGAACTGATTTATGCACGATTTCAAGGAATAGTACTACATGTGAATCGTCAAGGTCCAACATATCAGATTACCGGTAGCGTTGAAGTGATTCAGGTCCGATTTGTTTTGAAACAAATACAAATTGGTATTAACTAGTAATTAAAACTGGCTGGCTTACTGTCTCTAATATTACGTTTTTTAAAAGTTTTTTGGAGCTTTTATATTTAATATTTTTAATATTACTTTAATATTTTATCATTTTCAGGCTGATAATCAACTGCTGACGACAGATCGATGGCAGGTTTTGTTCTGTCAACAAGATATGACAAGTACTGATCCAAGTCTCCAAGAATCACATGTTTCGGTTCCTGCTTTGAAATTAGAAATGAATTGGACACCACTGGAACACTATGATGCATTTGACGTGCGTTATTTGCAAATTAAATTGCATTTTTTGCCTTTATTACATATATACGGAATTCTAAACCAAATAATTTTTTTTACAGTAAGAATGATTGTAGGCGAATTGTAATCTAAATTCGCTTTGTTCTAGCATTTTTATTTTTAGTGTTTTCGGTTGAAAATGTGTGATTTGTCCGTACAACTCGATGAAACACTATTATGGAAAATTGTTCAGTTTGTGCAAAGTATGTTAATTTACATATGAATTGCAATTTCCATTCTTATGAATTATATATATGTATATTTGATCCTTGAAAAAAGAATTTGATAAATCTCAATTATTTTTATTCAAAGCAAATATTTGTTATGCTGTCAGTTTTGATTATCTTTTTTTTTTTTAATTAAGATATTTTTTAGAGACGGAAGCAGCTGAAAGTATGAAGCCTAATGCGTTATTGCAGCCACCAAACACGGAACTTGATAAATTAGATCGGGTGCAAGCGCGTAGATGTTATTTTGGAACATTTGACTTAGAAATTGGTGCTGTGGCGCTTTCAGGTTGCTTTTTTAGACAATATGAAGTCTCTAACTTTAAGTTTGCTGGTAATAGTTTTATTATTTAGTTGTAACAGTTGGCATAAGTGGCCTTTCACCTGATTTGCGAAAACTAAAGCGGCAGTTCAATGTGAAATTGGTCAGTTTTGAGAACGCAATGATTTCTCTTCCTCCATTTCGACAGTTTCGATATTTTGAAACGTTTTCGTTTCTGATTGAAACACTCAACAAATTTTATCTTGGTTAGTTCAAAAAACTTTTTTAGCAAATTTTTTCTTGCTTAAATATTTATTGGTTTTAATTGAATTATTTACTCATATTTCTTGCTTGATCTTTTTCAACATTTATTTATTACTGCTTTGTGAGTACAATGTAGTAATCATTTCTCAATGTCATAGATAGCTTTAGTAGCAATACTTAACATTATTTAACGCTATTTTTCACATTATTCATTTTACCATTTTTTTTTTCATTACTTTTGAAAAAGAATGGGATGATGGTTTCAAGTTTGTAAGGATTTAAAGTTTGATTTTTCAGAAGAGTTAAAAAATCAGACCTTCAATATCGTAGTGACAATGGATGCTTTCGGTAATCCGTTGGGTCTTGCTTCTGATTTAAAGGAAAGTTTTGAAGGACTATTGTTCGAAGGCAATTTGGGTGGTTTTGTTAGCGGCTTAGGATATTGTTTCACTAACAGTCTATCAAAGGTAGTGAATATGCACTATCTCGTCTTAATTGATATTCATTGGATTGATATTTTATAAAGTTTGATGAAAGAAATTTCGTCGATAAAAATATTTAGAATTTCAATAAAAAATGAATAACTAAACGAAGCATGTTGATTGTGATGAAATAAAATTTGCAATATTTCTATAGGTATCATTAAAAAGTTTCAGTAACAGTTATAATAGTAGTAGATATCTTCAGATTTACTAAAACAATGCGTTTTGCAGGTAGCGTCATCGATGGCTACTGGTGTCGGTGCGTTAACGTTCGACGAACGGCATGAAATGATGAGGCGACGAATGTTACGTTGCCAGCCGCAGGCGGACAGTAATACTGCTCTTGCTCATCTTTATTGTGGTGTGAAGGTTAGTCGCCTTCTTGTTAAGTGTACTGGACACTTATATTCTTCAGCTCGCAATATTTTCAAATTTTTATAAATTTATAATCTAATATATTTCATTACTGCTTAAGTTTGTCATTTTTTCAGCTTGTGTAAAGTATAAATTTCAAATTTTCATGTTTATACAAAGTGGGAAAAATTTGTTGAAGTGAGCTAACTTGAAATTATTGTTTTTTTTTCAGGGTTTGGGTGTTGGTGTTTTGGGCGGCTTAACTGCTATTTTGACTAATACATATAACGAAAGCCGTAAAGGCGGGCTTACTGTGAGTTCATTTTTGAAAAATTGTAATCTCGTAGAATGGAGAATTTTGGCTGTTTCAATATATTCAGTTTGTTCTTACATAATTTCGAATTGCAGATAAATACACTGATATTAAGACCTTATTCCATGGAGACGAAATGTTATTAGATGAATGTAAAATTAGCATAATAATATCTGACAGCTATATAAGAAAATTCATGATCTGTATTATGCAGGGTGCTGTGCGTGGAATTACAACTGGTGCTGTGGACACTGTAACGAAGCCTGTACAAGGAATTTTTGATTTGGTCGAAGGAACAGCTTCAGCTGTTAAAGAAATAGTTGGCGGTCCATCAAGTACATTTTAACCATTTTAGAATGCTTGAATTAAAGTTGTTGGCAGTCTTACTGATAAAGTGTCAATGTCAATCCATAATTCATCGTTAGCTGCTGTACTGCTTCACAAAAAGTTTTAATTACCTTGATTCTTCGAATCTAATTTTACACATTTTTCAGCGAGGAAGTCACACTTTCCGCTACATCGGGTCCGATTACCACGGGTTACAATGAATTTACAGTCGCTTTTGCCGTGCTATTCCGAACGGCTTGCATATGCTCAGTTAGAGCTTTTGAGAATTAGTGGATTCGCTACGAATGAAATGTAAGCTTTGGCCTAGAAAAGACATATGAGAAAAAAAAATGTATTATATGAAAGCTGTGTGGGAAGCACCGTACCCAACTTTATTTTATGTTAACATTGCTTGATTTTAAAATTTTAGTTGGCATGGTTTGTAGGCTGCTTGATGTAGAAATGTTATTGGATCAAGCAACAACCAAAAACCGAGTAAAACAGTATGCTTTGGTTTGTTCCGAGCAGTGTTATATTGTCCGACAAATTGATTTAGAGCCCAGCAGTGTGGTGCAGAGAATACCTTACAAACAGCTTAAATTAATTCAGGCAGTTCCTGTCAGTGAAAAAAATAGCTTCTTTGGAACCATAGGTATCGTTTATCTCTTTTTGCGTTTTTGGATCGCTCAGTTTCAAGTTATAATTTACACATTTTTCCCTCGTTGCAACAATTAAATTCTTGTAATTAATTTTGCACTGCTGAAAAGAATTTCACTAGCATGACTGTGTTGTTTTGCCAGTCTAAAACTTTTTTGAACATAATGAGGTAGCTTTTTAATATCAGCATTCGAAAGAAAGGATTGATTTTTTCTTATTTTTATAATCGACTTTTCAACGTAAAAGTGGTAAAAATCCATTAAAAAACTTCCCATTATTAAAAAAAAAAAATCATACTGCTTTTTCAGTAAGTTATTTCTGTACTTTCATTTGACAAATAAATGCTGTCAGTTGTTAAAACTTCACAGTACACTTCAGATTGGATGATTAAATGAAGTTTTTTTCAGAAGTAGTGTTAGAGATTTCATCTGGGCGAAGACAGCGTTTACCCCACATATGGTGTAATCGTTTCGAAGTAGCGAAAAGACTATGTGAAAAGGTAGGTCGAGCTAAGCAACTGTATGATCATGGAAAAAGGACATTAAATACTGTAGATGATTTTGATATTCTTTGATAATATATCCTTTAAATGCTTTCATAATATGGCTCTGTTTTTTTCTTTTTTTTTTTTTTTCATTTTTAAATTGAAAATGAGGTTGTCGGATACTTCATTGATTTTTGTTTTTTTTTTTTTTTTTCTACCGTAACTTTCTCATTGTTAATCTAATAGATATTAACGAATTGTTCGTTTCTGGTGTTTTTTGTAAAGCATTTGCATGATAAATCTAACAAGTACTGAGTTACTTGTTATCTCTTTATGTTAAACACTAACCATCTTAAGGTTGATCAGAAACTATTTAGTATGATATTTTGTTACTAAAACTCAAAACATTCCAATGATTCAAAAACGCTAGGTGTTGAGTGTCTTTTAGATTAAACTGTTAAAAAAATTGTAGTTTTTTGTTGCTATATTGTTGTAACATCTTATATTACATATGGAAAAGTCTCCTTTAGTTGTATAAATACTACATCCTAGTTTTTAAATCGTTATGCTTTTTTTATTTGATAGCATTATGATCTCAGAAATGTTATTGTTTGAGTTCTATTGCTTCTGTTTTGTTCGGTGGCATTATGATCTCAAGCATGCTGATTATTTGTTTAGGATTTCTCGTTACTGTTTTTGCTAATCTTTCCATTCAAATTCGATTTCATAAATCATGTCCTAATTCTTAAAACGGATGAAGAGGATGGAAGAAATAAAATGAATTTATACTGTTTCATTTTTGTTTTTTTTCCATTCCTGAGGCAATATGGGAATGGGAGGGGAGAAGAGAGTTTTTACCTCTGCGAAACATTCGCACTTTTAAAATTTTGAGTATTGGATGTCTCACTCACTTTGCAAAATATTTTCTTAGATTTTTATTTGTAATCAGTGTTTTCTAATGTTAGACTCAAAATATCGTGGAATTCTTGCTAGATTTTTATAATTTAATAGGTTTTCACATATTTTTTCGTGTATTCGCCTTGCTCAAAATGATTATGAACCGTTGTGTTAACCATCTATAATTTTATGTTCTCCATGTTTTTGTTTTTTGATTTTTTTCTCAAGGAGGAGTTGAAATTCTTGTAATACATTCTGTAAAATTTTCTAGAAGAAATTGTATTTGTAAGGTTGCAGATGTTTCTGAATTTGAAAATATGTTTCAGCATTTGAGATTCTTCTAATAGCTATTAAAGAAATGTATTTTACCAGGTTAATAGCATCAAAACACATTGATTCTATAATGGAAGTACTAATTTTGTGCCTATTGTATAATGTGCTTTGGTAAGATCATTACATTTATTATTTGTGCTTATTTTATAAGAAGGTACTTGTATATTTACTTTGTGGGTTGTTAAAGTCGGATTTAGATAAAAACTTTGGATTTAGATTTTATCTTGCTAATAAATGTATATTACCAGTTCGGGTTTTATCAGTTATCGACTACTTCGATCAGAGTGACAGTGATAAGAATAATTCATTTCGAATGGTCTTAAAATAGCTTCAAATTCTATCTTATACAGGGTGGTTGATTTCTCTATTAACTAGTAAGATGTGATTTTTTCTTCACGTATCAATTTTTTTCAAGAAAAATCTGAGAAGTGTATGTTGTGAAATTGTTGGTGATAACAAGTATCGTTATTTTATTCGAATGCGGTTGTTGAATACATTCTTCAAGAAAGGGTCAGAAAAAGGTTATGGTAGGACCACGTTTATAGTGTCGTTGTTCTTTGCCATGTTTTCTACAGGTTAGTCAAGTGTTTCAGAATTGAAATATACTTAAACAGCCTTTCTCTCAATTTTCGAACAGTTTAGAGGCTAAAAAAAAAAGAGTCCTTCTCCTTCCTAATATAAACATACATTTAATAGGCTAGTATTTGAATTTAAAGGTTCCTTGTGTGTTTTTATTTTAATATTTCGATATGTTTTTACTGAAACTTTGCTTTGTAGTATTTATGGTTTGGAGTGAAGAAGAGCAGAGGAAGCGTCGTCAAGCTGCCGTTAAAGAATATGTTCGTAAATTTCAGCAATAAGATATAAGAATAAGGAAGTGACCAAATTGTTATTGTATATGCACTGCTTTTTGAGTTAAATTTCTCGATCTTTCTTACTTTTTACTAATTCTGTTATTCTTCTAATGTGTTTTGTTGAATAAAATGCATTATGGCATGTATTTTTTGTATGTACGAATTATTATAAAAAAGAGATGTAATAATAGATTAGTTTCTTTTCATTCAATCAAATGTCATTTTTTACTTTAGCGATTGATTTGTGATAAATATAAGTGGTTTCATATAATATCAAGTAATAGTATTTTTCTGTTTTACGTTTTCTTCACAAAACATGGAAATAAATTTGAATACATTTTACATTGTTAATTTTTACTGGTCCTGTACTGTTTTATATATTTTTAGCAGACTATTGTCTGGTAAATAAATAAAGATTTTATTAATGTCAGGTTTTTCTGAGAAAAAAAGTGGCTATAATTGGAAATTTCTATTAGATCTTATTGTTCTAATGAAAAAATCAGTAGCTCACTTCTTTATTAAAACTTTAAAAATAATAATGTTGCAGATGTGGTTAATCGGTTTACTTGGTTGATAATTATTTAAAACATAAAGTAAAAATGCAAATGGTAAGTAATTACTTACGCCAAGCAGCTACTTTAACTAGAATAAATGCAGCTGTAGTGTCGAATAATGTTACTGCAGTGTCCCGTGGTAATCCAACTATTCTATCACAGTTCCCTGCAAAAAAAGGTCCTGTTGTTCTACGATTGTTTTAATTCTGTTCTCGAGATTTCAATATGACATTAATTAGCAATTTATAAATTTTATCATGAAATATATGAATTTTTTTTTTTTAATAAAAATCATTTCACTAAAGTCTTCATAACCTATGTTTCATTTTATTGCCATTCTCGTATCAATTTAATTAGAAGATTGGATTAATGCTTATTTACTAGTTGAATCTTACCGTATAGTACTGGAAGTCTTAAATTTTTAGAAATTTTTGCATTTGTGAAGTTATAGAAAGGAGAAAGATTTTTACGTTATCCATTGCATTCATCTAGTGTTACTCTTTCTTTTTGTTACTTTTCAGCACTTTCAAAATTTATAATAAAAAGTGGAAAAAAGATATTGTTTACCTTTACCAATTCAATCGAGCTTCATCATCTCCCAATATTTCACCATTTTGCTTCAAACTTGAGACCTGGTTACGAGCAAACGAACTGAAACATGAGGTAGGATGTATCTGCATCAAGATTTCTTCTTTGAATTTGCGAAATGTTTGCTTTATTTTTATAGTAAGAAGATTTTACTTAATTTAACTAAGTCATGTTATATATTATTATTAATATAGAAATCTCAAAATTGATGTCTGTTGTAAAGTCACGAAAGAAGTCCTCATTTAAAAGACGTGTGATATTGGTATGGTTAATATTTTTTTAACCTTTGACTTTAAGTAAATCTGAACCTTTTAGAAAAATATGATTGTTAAGATCTTTTATACTTTTTAATAAACTCTTCAGCTGCGGAGTTACTGGAATTTTCAACCATGGGAAAGGTATTTCCCATTCATTGAGTTGAATGGAGAGAAATTTTCCGATTCACAGCTCATCATGGAGCGACTACAGAAACATTTCAATTTAAATGTAAGGAGAATTTGATAGGTCAGATATTCAAATTACGATCATCTGAATTATTGTGCATCACGCTTTTTTTTTTTCGGTGCTACCAACTTTTTTCATTCATGTTGTAATTAACAAAAAATACTGTGGTACTTCAGTTTTAGTTTGATTTTCTTTTTCAGGATGAGTTGATGGACGCTGATATTGGCGTTGCGCGAGCTATTGATCAGATGATTGAACGCAATACGCATTAGTAAGTGCTAATTTTTATTCGTCTTAGAAGTGCCATTGTGAAAACGATATATATACATATATTTATTATAAATTTGATTTTTAGCTTGTTGCTTTATTTCATATTCGTGGAAAATTTGTCTAAATTTGTGCAAGGAATGGAACCGTCATTAATTAAGAGATGGTTTATGCGTGGTACGATATATCCTTTCCTTGGCAAGGTTGCACTTATTTCGTTAACATAAAAATTTATTTCATTCTTTATTAATTTTTGTGAATTTCTTTGTTATATAAGAGTTTGTCTCATTCACCGAATAGGTTGAAAAGTGTTGGATTTTACTATTTTAATTTTTTCAAGGAATCTATCACAGTTATATCTTATGAAACGGGTGAAACTAATTTAGGTGCATCGGATATTCGAGGACGTTGGTTTTAGTAAGTGCTCGAGAAATGATCTTATTAGTATGCTGCAAAAAGATATTGCTGCAATTGATGTAATCTTAGGTGATAAAAAATTCTTGTTTGGTGTGAAACCTACTACGGTATGTATATTACTCTTTTTATCAAATTTATTTATCTTTGGAGAAAAAAAAGAAAAAAAAAACAAATTAAATAATGCATCGATATAATAACACGGAATTAATATTACAAAATATTCTAAATTACTGTTTAAAATTTAGAGTGCAAACATTTTTGATTCTTTCTTAGATTTATTTTGTGGATCGAATGATGTAAGGATGCGTCGAGTCAGTTATTAAAGTTTTCAAATTTTTGGCTAAGAACTGCCTTATATCTCTTTATAGTCTGACTTCACAGTTTTTGGACATTTGGCCACATCATATTATTTACCATTTCGTCAGCCAGTAACGGATATATTAGATGATAAATATCCACGAGTCAAAAGACTGATTGAACGAATGCGACAACATTATTATCCTGAATGGGAATTTAACACGTGAGGCAGCAAACACGTGTTTGTGTATCGAAATTGGTGTGCAATTTATCCATTTTGATATATATTGACCAAACTTTTTTAGTTAGCCAATGTTATACTTTGCTATGCTGAAGATTCTTATTTAATCGCTTTATTCATCATTTGTTAGGACTGATTATTTCTTTTGCATTAAAATGATGTTTTTAGTTTTAAGGAAAAATATATTTTGCGATTTTT